AGCAATGAAATGCACTACAGAGACAACTTGAGCTCTCAGTTACTTAGCTGTAGCCAAGAAGTCTCCTCCTTATGACATTTTTTCAGAATAGTACCCAGGACGCAGCAACACACACCTTCCATACACTCTTCTGGTTCATCATTAAAACACAGGGTGTGTGTGTGTGTGTGTGTGTGTGTTCACAGAGTGGAGCCCCCAAAGCTTTTAACTCCTCAAAACTATTTAACAAGCACTGTGTTTAGACATCTCAGCAACTTCCTCATCCACTTGGGACAGACGTGCATGTAGAAGCGGCCTCATCTCCATGGAAAGGCTTCCAGGCTTCAGAAACAGTCTAAAAGGCAAAACGTCCTCAGAAACAATAAGAATTCATCAACATTAATGGGAACTTCTCTCTCTCCAGTGCTGAGTGCTTCCAGCGGGATTAATTGTTTAATATTCACAAAGGACTTTGAAGATGAAAAGATCCACAGAAAGGCTGAAAATGAACACTCACTTTATTTGTGTTTCTCAACCTGTAGTTGAATCTGCAGGGCTGCCCTGACTTTGAAGCAGCTCCAAGATTATAATAATGATGACCACCTTTGGAGTGGGGAGAACAGAGTCCACGGGGAGGAATAATTTAGACTCAGTGATGTTTCCAGCAACGGCAAAGCAAGATCTTTGGTATCAAACAGAGCCAGCTGTGTGACCTTGGGCAAATTACTTACAAACTCTGAGACACTACTTCCTCAACTGAAAGAATGGAATAATTGCATCTACCTGGTTATTGTCAAATTAGAGGTGATTTAAAGGACTTTGACAGGGCCTGGAATCTTGCTGGTACTTTTGCAATTACAACGTTGTTGCTATTGCCAACATTGGAGGAATATTAATGAATATGGTTTCCAATATTTGATGCTGCAGAAGCCAACCCTGATCTTAATTAAATTTTTCAGAATTTTTAAAAAGGGTAAAAAAACCCAGCTGACAGACAAAAATCATTGAGTCATTTGTGAGTATGTGTGTGAGTCTAGCAGTGGATTCGGTTACTATTTACTCAAGATTAAACAAGTCTAAGGAATCCCTATTTCATAACTGCTTTACTTTCCCTCCATTATTCTAATTTCTTTAATACAGCTCTACCAGTGACTCCAGCTTCAATCCTCACTGCTGTGGCCAGTACTTCTGCAGTGTTTCACAAAGTGCAGAGCTTACAAAGGCCTGTGTAGCCTGAGAGAAGTCCTGCAGTAAACTGAGGCTCTTGTACGTAATGACCCTGATCTAGAAGATGCTAAGGGAGAGATACAGGTTATAAGGTCAACCCCACCTCCATGTCCAGACACCAGGTTATCTGGGCATCCACCCAGGTCATCAGGGCTCTCCATCCTGGAGCACTGGAAGAATGAGATGGGAGTTAGCAGGAGAGGATGAAGCACTTCAGGGCCTACTCAGCTTTAAATTCCACCAGGATTGAATCCAAGTGGGCATTCCCTGACCAGCACTGCCTAGTCTTCACTGGAGGTCCCTGTGGGCTCGAGGATGCTGCCTGGGTAAGTGATAGTCCTAGCCTGGGAATCCACTGCCTGTGTCAGGCATCCCTACTCTGTGCACGTATGTGGATTAAACCAGAAGGCCATGAAGAGAAAAAAGGAAATCAAAGGCCCTCACTAGTTCCATTTCCACACATTGGAAAAAATCCTTCCTGCTTCATTGATTTATAGAATAAGCCTCTTGTCTACCCAGATATACACAAGTTAGGAGACATAGCATTTGAAAACTTTCTGTGCTAAAAAATGATGCCTAAAATTTTGTGAAGTGTCATGCCCCTTCAAGTAAAGAAGGAGTTAAGAAAAAAAACAAAATTAGAGTTTCTTGCTGCTCTTCTAGGTTATCAGAAGTGGGTGGGTGTTATAGGAAGAAAAGGAGCAAGGACGAAGCTTGTGATTGCAGCTTATAAAATCTATTTTAAAATCCTCACTACCCAAACCCAGGACACAACAATTTGGATGACTGGGATTCTAACCTGGGAACAATAATGGTAAGTGACTCACCAAAGGGACTGCCTCAGTGGGTGCAATCCAGGAGAAAGGAAATTTTGATTAGGATGCAGAAGACTTGAGTTTGAGTACCGCCTTTCACACTAATTAGCTCTGTGATGTTAGGAAATTCAATTAAACTTTGCTGGCCTTGTTTTTGTTTTTGTTGTTCTTTTATCTGCAAATTGGAATGGCAAAAGGTTTCAACTAGACAACTCATTAAGTTCTGATAGGTTCTCTGAATGTGAATATTTTATCCAAAAACAAAACTTGTGGTTGTCCCTACTCAGCTACCCAGCATCCTTCACCAGGAGCACCAGGTGCCTGGACCCCAAATTCATGTGTAGAGAGTGGGTCACGGGCAGGACACTGGAGATAGGGATTTGGTTCACGGGTCCAGAGCATCATAATAATTATATGTTGGACTGGTAAACAGTGATATTCGTGGATGTCCAAACTCAGGACACCTAAGTAGTACCAAGGAATATTTAATCATAAAATAATATGTTCTAGAATGACTGCCAGAGGCAGAAATACGGCCAGTATATACCAAGCATGAGGCAAGGAGACAAATCAGAAAGGCACATCACAATCAAATTACTGGAAAATGTAATAAAGACAGACTTTTAAAAATACTCAGCAATAAAAAGGCTTACAGAGACACAGATGACTCTCAGCATTTTTCTAGTAAGAATAAATGCAAATGAGAGGACAACAGCAGCATCTTCTATTTCAAGAAAATTGTCTTTCAAAATGAAGGTAAAATTAGGAATTTTCCAGACATAAAAGCTAAAAGAATTAATTTCCAGCACACTTACACTGGTAAAAAGGTTGAAAGTATTTCAGGAAGAAGAAAAATTATACCAGATGGAAATGAGGATCTATACAAAAGAAAAAGAACAATGAAAATGGTAATTATATAGGTGAATATATAATTTTGTAATGTTTAAAAGATTATTGAGCACTTAAACAGATGTCATAACAATGTATTTTGGGATGTGTGACATATCTAAAGCCATGATGTATAAAAAACTGACCTAAAGCCAAGGGAGGAAGAAATGGAGGATACTGCTATGAATTCCTTCTATTTTACCCAAAGTGATACTCTCTCACTTGATCATAGACTGTAAGAATTTAAACATGTATAATTAACTATAAAGAAGTCACTAAAATGGCAAAATAAGGAGTGGTGGCTGTTTTTTCAATGAAAGGACAAAATACAAATGTAAAAATAGTCAATCAATCAAAAAGAGGGAGAAGATCAAATAGGACAAACAAAATAATGTCCATAGACTTAAATCCAAATACATCAATAGCATATTAAATATAAATTATATATATGCTCCAATTAAAAAGCAATGTGTAACAGTGGAGAAAATAGAAATACCAACTAAATTCTACCCATAGGAAACTCATTTTATATATATAGACACAAATAGGTTAAAATTTAAAGAATGGTACCACTGGTTTTAAAAAGGACTGTTACTATATTAATATTGTCTGAAGTAGTTTTCAGAACAAAGAATGTTACCAAGAGAAAAGATTATCATTTTATAACAATGAGAGGGTCAATTCATCAAAAAGTTAAAAAAAAATTTAAAACATGCACATAATAAAAGATTTTCAAAATACAGGTAGCAGGGGCCAGGGATTTAGCTCAGTGGTTCTGCTGCCTGCCCCACAAGCTCAAGGACCTGAGTTTGATCTCTGGTACCAAAAAAAATACAGGTAGCAAACACTGATAGAAGAGCAAAAAGAAATACACAGTTAAATATTACTTACCAGTTTCAATACCATTCTATCTATCTTTCTATCTATCTATCTATCAGCATCATCATCATCATCTACTTACTTATTTATCTTTGTGGTGCTGGGGACTGAACCTAGGCCCTCAAGCACACTAAGTATTTTCTCTGCCACTGAAATACATCCCCAGCAAAATAGGACGAACTTTGAGTGACATTATCAACAAATTTAGCTAAGTTGATATTAATAAAGAACACAGAAAATAAGAAAAAACTTGATTGATATTGTCAACAAATTTTACCTAATTGACACAAAACAATTTCCCCAAGAAGAGAAGAATACCCATTTTTCTCAAGTATATGTGAAACATTCACTGAAGCAGACCGTATTCTGTGCCACAACACAAGTTCAAATATATGCAATAAAGCTGTACAATTGCATGTACTCAATCATATAAATCATATTTCCTTATCTTGAGAGAATTACACCAGAAATATATAACACAAAGATCTGTGGAAATCAACCAAATAGCTAGAAAAAAACACTTCTAATTAACCAGCTAGTCAAAGAAAAAAGGCAAAGGAAACAGGAAATTATTTCTACCTGAAGGGAATGAAACATAACACAACACTCTTAACCTCCACTCTGCATACCGCCATAGCTTGAAGTATTATTTGTATACATTTAGTAACAGTAAGATGTGTAAACTAAAATTGTACTGAGCATTTCACATGAAATAAAGTTTGAAAGTTCCATTTATTATATTATCAACGAATGCCAAATTTTTATGCTTATTACACTTTTACCTTCATAAATATAAGCTGCCATTTCATGAACTGTGCTTGTGCGACAGAGGGCATGCAAAACCCAACCACATATCTGATTAGACCCACAAATCAGAGAAATTATCTTTCAATATCATTTGTGCTGCCATCGTGTTCCCTGGGTCTGACACTCTCCTCACCCTGCTCACTTCTGCAGTTCTCTTTATTTCTGGAATTTCTGTTTGGGAACTCTTTGTGAAGCCTGTTTCTTTGTCATTCATGTTTTAGTTCTGCTCACCCCATAGGCCCCATAGGAATGTCCTTGAAGTCAGAAGACTTCCTAGCCCTGGGCCACGGATTTAGCTCAGTGGTTCTGCTGCCTACCTTGCAAGCAACAAGGTCCAGAGTTCGATCCCCAGTACCAAAAAATAAAAAAGACTTTCTCTCCCCCCTCCCCCGCCTCTGTCCACAGAGAAAGCCCATGCAAGGACACAGAAAGTGGCCACCTATCAGCAATCAAGAGAGACCTGTCCAGAAAACAAACCTGGAATCATCTTGATCTTGGACTTCTAGCATCCAGAACTGTCACAAAATAAATATCTAAGCTTTAAACCACTGCATTTGTCGCATTTTGCTGGAAGAATAACCCAACACACAGCCATCTACCAGGACGATTGTAGTAGTTACATCTCCAGGGAAAACACTACCATAGACATCATGTAGGAATTTCCAAGATAGAATTTCCTGAATGGCTCAGGAAGGCTTCTGAGAGGGAGGAACAATGGAACTGAGTCTGAATGGTGAGAAGAAACTAGTCAAAGAGAAAGCCACGCTCAGTGGAGAATTAAAGTATTCTAGGAAATGGACTCTAGATGCCCAGTGCAGAGGCAGACAGAACAGTGCGGGTTATAGGTAGGGTCATAGGCCGAGGGGTGGGAGGCGGAGCTGAGGATCGGGCTCTGGACCTGCCAGGGGTCCTAAGGGGGCTTCACACTCCTTGCCAAAGATTCTCTGTTTCAGAAGGATAATTTTGTAATTGTTGTGGACATGTTCTTTGAAATCCATTTTATTTCTAACACTACCATTTAATATTTGGTTTTATTGGCCACGTTCATTGATTACTCTTTGTTGTTGTTTGGTTTTTTTGAGAAAGGGTTTACTGTGCTATCCAGGCTGGCTCTGAACTTGAGATTCTCCTGCCTCGGCTTCCCAAGTAGCTGGAACTACAGATGTATACAACTGCACCAGGCCCTTCCCAAGTCAATATCATTTTACTTTCTGCTGGAATGTGCATAATAGCCCTACCTAATTCTCAGCTTATTATACTGATTAAATTAGACAAATTAAACAAGTAGCAGAGCTTCTAACTTCTAGTGAGTGTTCATTAAAAGGGAGATGTTATGATAACCCTGAGTACAAAAGAAAACCAATAATGAACATTACATGGCAGTGATGTAGTCAGATCACCTCCTAAGAAACCAAGATTTCAAGGCAAACAAGACGGTGCACACCTGTGATCCCAGCACCCAGGGGCCAAGGAGGGAGGATTACAAGTTTCAGTCCATCCCAGGAAATTTAGTGATTCACTGAGACTGTCTCAAAAGAAACAATAAGGGGCCCCTGAGGATGTATCTCAGTGTGAAGGCCCTGGTTCAGTCCCCAGCACTGAAAAAATAAAGACAAGAGAAAGGAATTTCAGTTACAATGTAGAGAACTGATTATAGGGAGAGAAGCCAGGTCCAAATAAGTGTACACAAATAATAAAAGATGGTTAATTACTTGGCTTTTTTTGAGATGATCTCTTATCTGGTTCTAAGTTCTGTTGATTGCCTGAATTGATTATTTGAATAACCTAACCATTAACTGACATCACTGATAGCAAATAGTTTTCCCAAGTTCATGTAGCTAATTAGTAGATTAACCAGCACTGAAACCCAAGTATGTGCTTCCAAACTCCATACCTAGTCTGAGCTTTCTTTCCTGTAGTTGGTGAATTCATGCCTGAGATTACAAATCAAAGCTCCTATATTTGCCTTAGTAGTAAATTTTGAGAGCAAAACTCTTGACAACTGATAGGACATAAGAATAACATTATATAGCAATTCAACACCTAGTGTTTGTCTAATATTTAGTGTCTATCAGGTCTGTACATGCATGCGTGCATTTAATGCTCCCAACATGCAAGAAAGGAGACTGTTTATTTCTCCTTCTGAAGAGCTGAGCTGCCAGAATCCTGTATTACCCACCCAGACACTCTGTGGTTCACTGCCCTTCCATCAACCAGACTGCCTGACTTCAATGCAGAAAGACATTGGCAGCACACCAAAGATTAATGTGGTAAGGAAAGGCAGCACTAAAAAGAGGGTAACAATGCAGCTAATAAAATAATCACTTTTAAACTGCTTCAAGGTCTTCATGTAATGAACAAAATACAGAGACCTAGAATGATTTCTCAACCTTTGCAGATCATTGGAGCCTTCAAGAGGATAATGTTGGCTTTGATTCTATTTTCTTAAGAAGTGCAGATTTCCAAATACCATGTGTGGGGAATTGTTTTTACATTCTCTCATACTCTGGCCTTATTATGTGCAATGTTTAGCAAGCCCTACTAATGCCCCTGGACACTACTCCACTAATGTAAGCCATTGGCATTGTTGTATGCATGACTTCCTAGCATGTTTTCTCTATCACAAACATACACAAGTATATATTTTTTCTATCACAAGTCTCTTTCTCACCATTGAAATACAAAAACAGTAATGAATCAGGATACTCAACTATTGTGAAGCTACCCATTTTCCAGTTCAAAGAAGGGACAGTGGGCATGAAATTCTCCCCATTGACTCAAACAATAAGCAACAAAGTAAGAATATTCAGTCAGCGCCACAAAGATAGGGTGGAGTTGTGGCTAAAGAGCAATAGCCTCCCTGTTAAGATTCTCACTTTATGACTCCGCATGTATGTGCACGCATGTGTGCCTGTGTGTATGTGTGTCCACATATGTGCAGGGTGGATACAAGGGATATGGAAGGGAAAGATGGGTGACTACTACATACATATTTCATTCAATGCTGAGAAGAATTTTGACATACACTGATCGATCACTTGTTCCAATTCCCACACAAAATCCTTCTCAACATCACATTCTAACAGACTGTACCGTGACGTGACTATTTCCTGTTAGGCATCCTATTAGCCCTGCCTTCACTGTGAACACTTTCCACAACAGGGAAACTATACCTTATTTCCAAAACTATTATCCTGAATTTTCAGATTGTTCCAATTTATATGAAGCCCTTGTGTTGAATGAAAATCTACTTTTAGTTCACTTCTACCCATTGTTCCTAATTCTGATTTCTTGTCTAAATGGAAAAATCAATGTATAAAGCTTTATAATGTGGAATTGTTTCCACACTCCTATTGGCAAATATCCTTCATCCATTCAATTTTTTTCATCTTTTATTCAACAAAGAATACTTGCATGGCACCATGTTGCACTGAATACCATGCAGTGGAGGTAAAATAGTGAGGAAGCAAACTGCACTGCATGTTATATAGGTTTCTGGCTAGTTGAAGGTTAAGTGAATGGCAATTACAGCAGTATGTGATATGTTCTGACATAGTGGAAACTCTGAGTGTTAGTAAAGCAACAAGGAGATGCTACATCTCAGCAATCTGGGGAGAGGCTGCCAAGGAAGAGTTTCCAAGTAAGTAAAGCCTGAGTTGACCACAAGAAGACCGAGCAGGAGCAGCAGGGAAAGGGTGGGTATAGAGCAAGAATGTAACAGGCTGGAGGCAGAAAAGTGAGCCGGGAAGGGGATAGAAGGCTCAGAGGTCAGGGGTAAGCATCAGCAACAGCTGGCTGGGGGCGGGTACACCTCGTGTACCTGTGACTGGCTGTCTAAAGACATAGGCGGGCACAGGAACACGAGGATTTGAGGAGTCACATTAGTGACTAATATCATCCCAAGAGCTGTGGGATGAACTCCATCCAGGTACCTGTGTGACACAGGCACATTTGTGTTCTGGGAAAGGCCACCCTGCTGCAGGTGGTAATGAATGGCTGGCTGGGTCGGAGAGCCGGGTTGAAAAGTGATCACTCTAATTCTGAGGCCACTGAGGTGGCTAGACAGGCCGGCAGAGTGTGTGATTCTGTTCATCACGGCAGGCAGTCATTTTTGTCTCAGTAAGTTCAGTTTTTGAAAGTTCCTGTGATAATAAAATACCCCAAGTTGAAAAAACATCCCAACTGTTACCTAACCATTGCAGATGAGAGATGAGTTATTGCTTGATTTAGGCACTGCAGAAAATGGTCTCATTTATTTTTGGTAGCTGTATCACATTGTTTATTAATATTATGATTGGAATAGGCTAAAATGCATGGATCCTCTCTTGTGCTATGTAGGCACATAAAAAATTTCTTTGCTAATTGTGCATTTTTTTAGTCTAAGTGTAACATTTATACTTGGTGTAATACACACCTTTAAGATTTCATTCATGTACTAATTCGTTTTCTGATGCAAATGACAATATATCACAGTCTGAGTATTAACAAAATGCGGTTAGATTCGTCCCATGGTTCTGGAGGTGCAAAGTTGAGGAACCGCATCTAGTGCAGCCTTCTTGCTGTCAGAGTCCTGAGGCATACGGAGCATCACTTTCAGAGAGAAGCATGCTTGAGTGTGTATTCCCGACTCTGCCTTCCAGGGGCGCCATATTCAATCATGGCTTTGAATTCTGATCAGTGTCCAAAGATGTCTGGCATAATTGGGTCAAGTCTCCACCCCCTAATACCTCACAATGAGAATTAAATTCTAAAATGAATTTCAGAGAAGAGTAATGTAATACAAGCCATAGCAAACCAGTATTCCAGGTAGCTTAGAGTGTTTTAAATTCTAACCCCAAGATTTGCATGGTAGTTCATATTATAAAAGACTAAAATCTTTAAGGTGTATTGACCTTACTTCAAATAATTACCTTGGTGTTTATTCATTTCTTGGCACTGGGGGACTTAATTTTTGTCACTTTAGTAGTTTATGTTGTCGAAGGTCTATTATATCATGCATTACTCCATATAATATATGCATATTCTACACATACACCATTCCGGGGGTGGATGGAAGTACTACATACGCTAGTCACATAGTCACTAAATGCTAATCATTGGGCCCTTGCCACACGTCTCCAAGGGCACCTCCACTCTTCCCTTCTCAACAGTCAGCTGGGACTCTGCAAGCCGCACTTGACCTCACCAGCTGCTTTCTTATCAGGGTCTTCCAGAGAAGGCCCCAGAAGGGGAGTGGGAAACCCGAGAGGAGACGAGGCGCCCCACCCTTTCTGTGTGCCCCTGCCAGCCAGCAAATTGTTCCTCGTCCCAGGAGTGACAGTTGGGTTGAGTCGAATCCGCTGATTCTACTCAATTTCTAGTTTTTCTCACACTCCCAGAACCAACCTTATCGTCCACTTGGGAGAAGCACTAGTGAAAGATGGGTCGTGACACCTTCTCTGAGGTTCAGGCTCAGCTCGGGAGCTTCTGCCAGGCCCCGAGACGCAGCGCCGACGCAGCAGCGCCTCAGGTCAGCTCGGCTCAGAGGCTTGACTCTGAACCCCACAAG